AAGTTGAAGTATGCTTTTTTTTTTGCTTGAAGCTGGTTGTGTCTGCATACAGTATATGTACATTTTAATGCTATTTCTTTGTCATATAAATTTAATGTTGTATAGATATATTGTGTATAAACAGACAAATATATATATTTTCAGAAAATTCCGCACTTAGGAAGATAATTGCTTTACTGGAATGGTATGTTTGGAGGGCAAAACATCAGCAGAATTGTCCCAAAGGTGTTTTTTCAAAAGGCAACTGGACTTTGTTTTTCCAAACAAAGAAAAAATCCAGTTGCCTTTTGAAAAAGCACCTTTGGGACCTTTTGGGTGCATGACCTGGATGACTGAGAATCTTCATAGACAATCAGCAGAATTGCCCATAGGGAGGCTGTATAGTATACAATTGAATCCTTTGCAAGCACTGGGAATGTGTCTCAATCTAGATAGAGATATCTCAGCTATTATAAGCACAAGAAAGAAACTTAGTTTAAACTCAAACACAGTATTTAGAAGTACTTTAGAGAAATAGCTACTGCTGAAAATGTTTTTTTAAAAAAATGACTTGGAATCCCTACAACTAAAAACAAGGTATTATAGTGTCATTTTTCTTAATTTGTGATGTAAACAATACCAGTAGCATGGAAGGGGAAGATACTTTGATGAAAAAGATCTAGAAGTCATCCTAGATTTTCTGTTAGGAAATCAAATATATTTCATTGTGACTGGGATGCAGTGAGCACTTGCTAGGCCTTCTTACTATACTTTTCTAAATAAGGCTAAAATTGCCACCATTCTAAATAAGATAGAGGATTTCTAACTACTTTTAAGATATCATCTATAAGGAAGAGAGAAACTGTTTAATTTCCAGCTTATTTTACCACTTCCATTGTTCATTTATTCTGAGTGGATCTACAGCACATTGAGCTGCTTATGCTTTTTGTTCCCTTTTAAATGCAATCTATTAGATTAGAATGCATGCAGGTTAAAAAGACCTGCTGATTGGTCTGGCAGGTGAAGTGGCTATAGAATTTTAGTATTGCAACAAAAATTCAGGAGAGGCAGGCAGGTCTGCTAACATGATGGAGCTTTATACAATAAAGATCTTCAAAAGGAAATAAACATCTGATTAGCACATCACTGCCTCCTTGCTTTGAGTTCTTTGATGGCTCTGGATAGCACTCATCAGTGAAAACTAAAATGGAATTATTCAAAAAAGAAGTGTTTAGGCACAAAATTCCAGGAATGTAATCTCTGGCTTTGATGTAAAAATATCTGTACTGTATTAAGCTAGAACTGACACATCAGTGTAAGATAGCAGGATAGGGAATATTACCTAAAACAATCATGGTTCTAAATGCTCAAACCAGTGGTGGGATTCAGCCGGTTCGCACCACTTCAGCAGAACCAGTAGCTAATTTTTTGTTGCCCTGGCCCAGAATAGACTTCTGGAAGTGGCATCCACACAGAGAACCGGTTGTTCACATATTTGAATCCCACCACTGGCTCAAACCTTATTGTTTTCCCCCCAAAAAACTAAACTAACCTCACAATATTAGGTAAATGCCTATGGATTTGGCCAGTCTTGAACATGGCCAAAGACATTGGGGATAGTGATGATTCAGGTTGGGAAGACTGAGGTCTTGCAGCAGCAGTTTATACTATTTATAGCCATGTAAATTGACCATGAAATGAAAGTCATGCATTTAATTCCAAATTTGCTTTAGGATAAGTTGTATCAAACTAGCATGCAAAAACTATTAGATAAAGTATGATTGCCTAGAAAATCTCATCTTAGGAAGAGATGTTACATATCTGCAATGGAAAACTATGATTGTAGAATGCAGTAGTTGCTGTGAAAGGACCTATGCAAATATATTTGAATCAACTCATTTGATTCCTGCCAACTCTGTGAGAATTTTTCCAGTTCTTAACCTGTTTATTATTAGTTTATATGACCAGCAGGTCCAGCATTGATATTATAGTCTAAATCAGAGTATCTGTAGTAACAACTCATTGGTTTTAGATGATAAATCCTGGTGAGTTATCTGTTTTTCCACTTCTGACTAAAGATGTAAGAAACTACCTTCTAGATACAGCCTTAGTTTGGAATATTGACACCTCAGATGTATAGTTCATCTAACACAGCAGTAAAAACTAATACAAATGCATAAAAGAAGCCCAAAGAGAATTCACTGTGAAATGCTTGTAATTGGGAAAGTGGAAAATCCATTGATAAAAATAAGCTGCTAAATGTACTACCTTTGTCAATTAAATTTAGGACTAAAAGAGACAATTCTTCCTTTGCAATCAAATGCCCTTGCCTGCTAAAGGACATAGAAGTAATGTTTCTGAAAATATGCTCTCCTTCTGAGACATTTCCTGCATTTAGCTCCTACTCTCTGCTCTTGCCAAGTCAGTGTAAATCAGATTTTTTTGGCTGCAAATCTTGACTGCTGAGAATGTCAAAGGCTTTGGCTTATTGTACAAGGTCAGTCATTAGTATTTCTTTCAGGCTATTAATAGGACCAAAGGAAACTTATGAAAGTAAATTATCAAGGGGAAAAAGGGGTTTGACACCACTTTAATGAATTATAATTATAACAGTAAGTGGGTTCTTTCATTTACCCCTTTTTTGGCAGCATTCAGGATAATGATTAGAAGAATGAGAGATTCTCACAAAATATGCAATTCAGTTAAAGTATGTGATATCAAACTCACAGCCTTTGCTTGGTAAGGGATGGGAATCTAGTGGTGTTTTTTAAAAGACACATCTACATATCACTGGAAAAAAATGGGTTTACTTTGTCAGGAGCAATTTCCTCCTTTCTGATGTGGTGGCTAAGCAGAGCACACTAGTAGATGAAGCCCCTTATAAAAGAATTCCACACAATTAATTAGAAGCTGAGCTATGTTAATAAAGCATTGTATTCAATCATTTTCAGGCTATTTGTCTTTGAAATAGATTTCCATATGTATCACCTTGCTCTCGGTGTACAGAGCAATAGTATTAGAGACTTCCCATCTACAGATGTCCAGGGAGCAATTGGGGTCAGGATGGGGTCAACTATTCAGCCTCCCTCATGTTAATTGTTCTGGAATCTCCTTCAAGGGTATCATGAATGAAGAGTGCGATGATAGCTGCCCTTTTCAGGCTAACTCCTGTTTTGGACCAGCATGACAAAGGTCCTGGATGAACATGAAGTGTTGTAGACATGGAACAGTAGCAAAACCTTGAGTTCCCCCGACTTTGGAGATTTCCCTACATTGAACTTCGTACAAAAAAACTAGCTAATGATTATTTCTGAAAACCTCCACCTTCCAAAGACCCTTAGGATTTTAGAACTGACATATACTGATAAGTGATAATGTCCCCTAATTTCATTCAAAACAGCTGTAACCACATTTTTTCTTATACTGAAAATGTGACAAAATTTGGTAGAATCATAACGCAATCCAAGGTGTCTGTCCACAGACACACTGAGAAAAGCCATTTTGTTCTCTTCAAGTCTGACTGCATTCATGGGCCCAATATTCTGCCTTCCATTAGTTCTAATCACCTTGCCCTTCTTCTCACCCCTCTTAAATGTAGCCTGCCCAAATGTCAATATTCATTACAGACAGAAATGTTTACAGCATCCCACCTGCTATTAGCACTCTTGAAAGGACTTTGGTTGTTGTTGTTGTTTTTTTTTAAATCTTTTGTAAAAAGCAATGACAACCCACAGACATCATCAGCCTTCTACTGATCACTTAGAAATGGACTTCTAGGGTCAATTAAAAAACCTAATCTGAATTGAGACACATAGACACAGACAAGACTACAGTAATTAGCCAGCATGTAGAATGTGCCATTTCCTTTTGTCCAGGGAGAAGATGCCCCCATTTCCCTTTCCCAGGAGACATTGAAGTCTTATGCTTGACCTCTGCATGACCTTTCATATGATGTGAGAAAAATGCAAATGCCATTTGTTCTGACTGCATAAGTGAATTCAAAGCAGGAAAACAATAAATATGTCAACTCACTAGGTCTACACTGTTCAAGTACTGCTTGCTGTAAACACTTTTTTTTAAAAGCAAGAAATCACGTAGTGACTAGGAAAAACAAACAACCCAAAAGCTAACTGATCAATCAACACTCTAAGCAACTAAGAAAGCCAATCAGTTTTTATATGAATTGCACCTATAAAAGTGCATAATGCACCAGTTTCATTTTAAACCATCACAACTTCCTTAGCTTCAAAAGGACCAGACATTCCTTAGGAACACAACTGCAGATACATAAAAACAGGAAGGAATCATTTCAATGAGGGAAGTCTTGTGTCAAAGTAGAAGAGGAATGAAGGACTTTCATAAAATCATAGTGTCCCTTCAATGGTAAATAAGGAGCATTAAAAAAATATCAGTACTCTATAAATACATAGTTGAAGCTGATTTCAGCACAGATGAATTGAATGACCAGATGGCTTTTCCACTCACATAGATTCCTGCTAAAATACTCTTGAAGATACTGAACGGTGGGTTTTCCTTTCCAACTGCACTATTTAAAAGGTTTGGTGCAGATTTGTGCTCCTGGAGATATTTTTTAAGTTCCCAGGCAGAGGAACAATGGAGTTTTTTCAAACATTTCCTAAGGTAGAGAATCTACTTGCAAACCATCCATCTGAGCCATGAGCAACGAGGTTCTCGTATGATGTGAGGGGCAATGTACAGTGGAATCTTCAATAAGACGTAGCCACTGTATTTTTGTTACCTTTTTTTCTTCTCTTTTCTTTTTCTTAAAAAAAACTTTAAATATTGTTTTTGTTATCTCTTAATATACACCAAACAATTTTCATGCAAAGCAGCAGTCATGGAGAAGTCTTAGCTTCCAAAGACCTTCAAGGTTACAGCTTGAATAGTTGAACTATTTGATAAATCCAACTGATGTTTGAGATGCACAGTTGCTGTTGTTTTCCTTCATTCTTTCAACTGGAATTTTGTGAGTTTTGAGCTAAGAATCTGGGGCAACTTTTGCTTCTTGTAGGAGATTCTCACAGTATTCCCGATATATTCTTTGTGGCCACCTTGCCAATTTCCTTAATTCCCCAAAGTCTTTGCAATCACTCCTTATGTTTTTTCCTAGGAGTTCCTGCTCCTTTCTTCAGCTCTCCATAGACATGGCACCAATAAGTTGCTCTACTTTGTATGCCAAGCGCTGCCGGCGCGCCTGCTCATCCTGCTCCAGAGCCCCAATGATCTGGAACCAAAATCAATACCAACAGGAAAGGACATGAAATAATAAGAATGAATTGGGTTTAAGTAGATTAAAAGGAAAAGGAAGCAACAATACATACAAATAAATGGTCTTAGAAATTCATGACAATTTTTTTGTACATTGATAAGAATACAGTGCATAGGAATTATGCTCTGAAATGTTAGCCTTATGGTAAATCTGTGAATGAGAATACCTAGGGTCTCTAAATGTTTACATAAGAAGTTGAAATACACTGTAGAACTGTTAGACAACACTCAGTCTTTAGCTCTACTTTCTAGAGAAAATGTAAGAAATGAAAAGAAAGCACAGGATTTCATTGTGTTCACAAATCCCTCCTTATTTTTGAGTTACCGTGTTGGCTCGCACTGCCAGCAAAAAGCACAATTATATTCTGGAGGCTATATTTCCTCTATTATTTAGCAAATGGCTGCTGCACTATACCATGTATTTATACATGCACTTAAAAGACAAAAGCCTTGCCTTTAATACCTGTAACTGCAAAATAGGCATTTCTTAACATTGCAAATTAAAGAGCTGACCAGATGGTGGGGACTTAGACATCAAGTAATGTATCCATCAGAAAAGAATATGTACTGATAGTAATATTTTGTAATATATATATAGGATTTGGTTGTGCCATGCTAGTTGTGTCTGGGAAAATAGCATATGGTCAAACAACCAGATAATTTTGCAGGCATTCAGAAAATAATACAAATATTCAATAACAACAACTAAAATAGCTCCACTTTCTGCTTTATCTAAACATTGCCCTAATCACTTCATGATGAAAATTATTACAGCAGATATGATTTTTATATACATGATCTCATGATATCTCTCTTTTTTATATATAAATTTTGGGCAGAGAGCAATGTAGCAAAATTTGGAGAAGTGTAAAAAATGAAATAAATTGAATTTTGGCTTGCATCTTAGTTTGGAACATGTGAATTAAATTAGTTAATTGATTTGCATTTTAGTATTTCTTTCCCATCCCTAGCCATTAGCAATTTCATTCTATTTGGGGGAAAAATAGACAATGGCCAAGATAATAATATAATTGGAAATGAAGCAAAATAAGTAAATACGTCATTTTTTGCTTATTAAGCAAACTTTTGCTTATTTTTTATGAACAATATCAAAAAGATTCCGAAATCTATTTTTAGGATAACAGCCTAGGTATTCACATAATAATAATGATGTCCATAATAAACCAAAGGTCTCATTTATTGGGAATTCACAATTCAGACAATTGTTCCTCAGGCAGACTCATCTGTTATTACTTTTATTTTACTTTTACTAAAGGTCTTTAATATGCTCAGGCTGTGATAAATAAAAACTAATTGTGGTGAACATTGGTCCTTTATATTTTGTTGTATACTTTGTGTTGTGCGTTATGTAGCATATCTTTGTGTCATTTTATGGTTACAAATTACTCTGAAAATAAATTGGAATTATTTTCCTAACTATCTGCATCCCAAATGGCATTATAAGATTCAGCCAGATACATTTGAAAAAAAGGGTACTTGCAAAAGTATCTTATGATACTGTGTGCTATATTGGCAGAGCTGTGCTATTCTTAGCCCTAGATAGCAGTTTGAGTCATGCATGGAAATAGCATGGAAGCAGAAACTAGTGCAAAGTTAGTTTGCATTGGAGAGAGGAACATTGACTTATGTGTTGCATGTAGTACTGAATACTTATTTTGTGTTCTACAAACCCAGCAATTGCTGGTGATAAATTAAGAAAAATAGATGCATTATTTCTCCAGTTAGTTTAGCACCTAGACAACCTTTGAGTTTGGTTTGAGTTTATTCTGTCCTGCTGTGAGAATGTCTGGTTGTTGTTAGGTGCTGTTCCTTGGGCTTTGATATAATGTTACTATATTGTTTTATTGTTTTAATCTTGTTACTGGATTATAGAATGTCAGCTGCTTAAAGTTCAATTGTTTATGACAATTATGTAGTGAAGTGTTCAATCAACAAATATGTTTCTCTACTCCCCCCACCCCCAACTCTCTGAAGAAAGAAGTTTCTCACCTCCTCACTGTATTTGCTGACATAGGAGTATATTTCATTGAGTGCACTCAGCATGTTGAAATCAACATAGTGCAGACGTGACTGTTCTGCGAGGTAGGCATTCATGTCTTGGTCACTGATGGCTGGGAGTTTTGCAATATCTGCATAATACCTGCAAAGTAATGGAGATAGTGTTTCAGAAACAGAACTGACTACTTAAAGCATAAACGTTTGAGAGAAAAAAGAAGCAGCAATCAAGACTGAATTGGGTTGAAGCCACAAGTCATTTCTGCAGGAAAACAGTGTAAAGGTCAAAATGAACAAAGCATCAAGTTGATTTTGTAGGATATGTGATGAACCTTAAAGTGAAAAACATGTTTTCCTACTATGCTCATGCCATAATAAATGCACAATAACAGAATGTATTAGTAATGTACAATAGCTTGTACATATGCATTGTTGCATTGTATTTAAAATATTGTATAGTGACAATTATTTGTGATACATGAATATCACGAATATAAATAACAATTCCACTTATTAAGTACTTCTATAATTGGAAGCCCAGTAATAAAGCTAAAAACTATGTCTAGTTAAATGTATAGAAAAAGACTTATGTAAGGAAGGAAAAGATGACAGCTGGAGTTGGCAAAGAAAACAACATTTTGTTTATACTTTTCTCTTTGGTATTGTTTTACCATAACATTCATGTTATTCTATTTTTCAGTAAATATTATCTGGATTCCTTCCAATTAGGGTTCAGATCTGTAAACAGTAATGAGATTGAGTTTGATTGCACTTATTGATAGCAATATCACTTATATACTGCTCCATAGTGCTTTACAAGATTCTCTGAGAGGTTTACAATGTCAGCATATTGCTCCCAACACTCTAGGTTCTCATTTTACCTACCCCGGAAGGATGGAAGGATGAGTCCAGTTCGTGCCCAGTCAGGATCGAATTCCAGAGTATGGACAGAGTTTAGTCTGCAATACTGCATTCTAATCACTGTGCCACTAGGGCTAATGGTATCTGGTTGGATCAGGATGGCAGTGGTTCACCCAGTCTTGCCTTCCTTGATTTCTGTAACTTCTGATATCATCACTAATGGTATAATTCTTCTGGATGAACATAGAAGCTCCATTGTGGTTTTCTTTCCTCTGGGATTGACTCCAGTATTGGCTGGCAAAAGTCTAGCTCTAAGCCCCTGCTTTCTGGAACACCACAAAACAGGGACCTCTCTTTTCACTTTTATTTAACATCTACATTATGCCACTGGGTGAGGTGATATGATGATGGGGCAATCAGGTAATATCAGTATGCTAACAATACTCAATTATGCTTCTCCCTCCTGGGTTGACCAAATGATGCTGTCAAGGTTCTTTCTCAGTATCTGAAAGCTGTAAGGGTCTGGATGGGGAGTTATAGGCTTAGCAAGACTGGACCATCCCTACCACGCAGGGCCTTAATATCTTTAGTTCTAAATTGTTTAGTAGTCTCTCAGATGGTGCCAGTGTTAGGAAATCCTCCTAGGCTCTTGCCCGTTTGGAGAACTGGTAGCAGCTGTGGCTAGGATGGTATTGCACAGTCCATCTTGTGCACCAATTATACCACTTCTAGACTTGGAGGACCTATTCCTGGTCACTCATACTTTGGGCTGTTCTAGTCTGGACTATTGCAATGGAATCTATGTAGGATTACCTTTAAAGATAATTTAGAAACTACAGCTTATCGAGAATGACATGCATAGTTATGAACATGCCTCAGTATTCTGTGAAACATCCCTACTTCCCAAGCTGTACTGGCTCTTACTGTGCCTCTAGGTGCAAGTCAAGATGCACCACTATCACCACCTATAAAGCTTTTTACGACACAGGGCTAGGTTGTGCATGTAAACTGCCTGTCTCCAAGCATTGATGCAATCCAGAAAGCATACTGTACTTTCTGCATACTGACATTTGTCCTATGGAACAGCATCCACTCCAAGGTTCGTATGGTCACAAACCTGCTGGTCTTTCACATGATCTTAGGAACTGGTTCTTCATCTCAGCAGGGGAGCAGGATTTTAGGCAGAGTTGTCTTTGGTGACTGTGTGGTTTTTGACTCACCTTGTAAGTTGTTATTCTAGTTGTTTATGTGTGTTTTTAATATGTTAGCTACCCATCACTGTATCACAAGCAGGCAGCTAAGTAAATTAATAAAATCTGTTACATATGTTGTGCATATAGACATGAACAAAAAGAAGAGCATTAATGGAAACACTATTGGAAGTCATGTTGCAGGTATTTTGGAATTTTGTAAATGGATCCTTAATACTGACCTTTATGAATAAGGAAGAAAACACAACTGCCACTCAGAATGCCACCCAGATTCAGAGTGAAATTATACTGAACTCAATATGTGCAAGCTTGGGGAAGCACAAATAAAGAGTCTTGCCATGCAGCACATACCCTCTATTTGAATACTGACCTTTCTACCCAGCTTTTATAGCTGGGTATATCCTTGGCATACAGCAGCTTATTGGAGGGGGAATCCTTGCCCAGCCGATGCTCTGAGGTGGAACATGAATCCATAAAAGTCTGAGCTACAACCGAGAGGCAGGCATCAGTGATACTTCCTTTGTGGATATCAAAGACGAACTGTGGATTTTTAATTACATTCACCCAGAAGCGAAGAGGAAGACTGTATGACATAAATATGCATTATAAATTTAAAAATAGCAACATATTTCTACAATCACAGCTTTTCTTTTTTTCTTTTCACAAAAAGGTTAAATAAGAATGGTAGTAGTAATAGTAGCAGTAATGAGTAATATAGTATTGTACATTCCAATAATGTAGCACTATAGCCATACTTTAATGGTATTTGGCAATCAAGGTGAATTAATCATATTTAGCATTATACTTCAGCCAAGCTGGATATCCTCTTCCTAAACATAGTTAAAATCAAGATACAGAATTATGATGGAGCTATTGGATTTGAATTCATTGAGTTATTTGGCTTATTTGGGTTGGAGACCTAGCCAAAAAGGGAATTCTTTCTTTTGATTGAGATAATCCATTTTCTCCTTGAAAGTTTTATTGTATTCTTGCTCCCCATTTCTTTTAGTTTTAATGCAGTAATGAGCATCTTCAATGTATATTCATTAAAACTCTCTTCTCATGGATTTACAGTAGTGTTCCAACCTAAATATTATCACTGATAATCTTTTTTCCCCTCTTCCTTTTATTCTTAAAATGGAAAACGTTCTTCACTTACAAGGTAATCTATCACTAGATGCCACTGTTTGTCTTTTTTGCCCATAAATACCAATATTATGAACAGAGGGAAGAAAAAAGTCCAAATCTCTATGTAATATAAAATTCACAATAACTAGCAACAGAAAAAGAACCATAATATGGACAATATAACACATTTTTACTTCCATTTTCCACCATTGGGGGGAAAAAACCCAACATTATCAAAGATACCAACTCTTTCGAATACAGTGTTGTAAAGGTTGCTTGAAATATGAATAAAAACTAAATAGAATACCATTGATTTTCTCTGTAACTCCCCCCCAAAAAACAATAAAAAACACACAAACACTTTAACCTACCCTAATCAACAGAAAGACCCCAAAATATATTTTTCTTCTTTTGATTTCTCTATTGTTGCTAGTTAAAACTCTGCATCACTGAAGACCTAGGCACCAGGTAATTGAGAAAATGCAATTTTCTGAGGCTCCTGATGCCTTGATTGCTCTTTTTGCAGCATTCTAGGCATGACTTATAGAGGAGGTAGTCTAGGCCAGTAACAAAATGCAAAAGTGCTAAAATCAATTGCGGGCATTTCCAATTAGACGGTGTTGCAGCTGATGTTAAAAATCTCCACTTTATACTCTGGACAGCAGCTGCAAGTCAAAATATAGGGTCTGGGGCTAAATAAGCAAACTGACTGATTTCATATAAAAAAACCCTCTCTTTTCCCTCTTTCTGATTTTCTGATAGTTATCAGAGCTTCATGCTACTAATAGTAATATATAAAGGAAGACTAAATGAGCAAATTACACCAATGCTTTGTGTTATTTCAAAAACAAAGTGCAGTAATCCAATCTTCAATATGCCAGTGTGCACAAGCACTTCCATAAATATCTCATATCACAATGATCCGAAGATCACTAATTTGGGGATGCTTTTGTGCCTTAGGACTTGAGTAATCGTCCACCATATCCATACTTGACAGTTGATATGAAATACTTACTGTTTGCTTATTAACTATCTTGTTAGCTCCAAAGTTTTACTTATCTGCCTATAAAAAATCTCTCCAGAAGTCTTGAATGAGATTCTTTGTTTTTTTGAGGGGAAGTTTGATATGACCATCAAAGTTTGTAAGGAGCAATGAGTTTTGCCTTATTATTCTCTAATGGATCTCTCTCTCTCTCTCTCTCTCTCTCTCTCTCTCTCTCTCTCTCTCTCTCTCTCTCTCTCTCTCTCTCTCTCTCAGCTGAGGTAGCAGAGGCCTGAAAATCTCTTTTTTTAAAATGACTTTAATGAGATGCTTGTCACAGAATAATTCCTTTTAGGGATTATTGTTCAAAATCTTCTTTGTCTCAGGACATTTCTTATCTGTAGCTTAGTAGAGCTTTCAAAATGCTTTGGTGATCTTTTCCAGTTTGATAAGCATACATGACATTTTTACAGAGGTCTTCAGAAATTTATTTTAATAGGGCATGATGTATCTCTAGAATCAGCATGATGAAAACATCCCTGTGATGCCTGTGAGATGTCTATAAGGGAAGATCACCCCAGAGTTGACTGTTCAATGAAGTACTCCCATAACTGGTCCAGGTAGCTCTTTAACTGAATTTACTGAACAAGACCGCAATTATTTGTTCACACTGGCATATCATTTATTGGATGTTTTTGTTTATGAAATAAATGATTCAATACTAAACATGCTTCATTATTGTCTATTAAATTCTTTTCATTTACTAACAAACTAGAATAACATTCAATGGCAAAGACTTTTTCACACAGCTGAGTATGGAGGTTCTTATGCTAACTGTCTTCTGCTGATACATCAGCTGCTCTTCTCCTACATATACAGACTAAACCATATGTTTCTACAAAGGGGTTTTGGTTTTGGCTTTCTTTTGTATTGAAATGAGTTGATCCATTGTATGAATCTGAGAGTTAGAAAATCTGTAATAGCATCATACATGTTGATGAAATCTGGCTGATCACTTGACTCCTATGCGGTTTGCTTCATTAAGACTATTAATTTTGGGGGGAAATCTTATTATCGTAATACTGACTGCAGATAGAATTCTTTTTAATGTGCGCATGGTCAGATGCCATATTGAAAAAAAATCATAACATTCTTTGAAGAGTTTTCCCATAATCCATCTGTAGATTAGCATCTGTCCATCTGTACAATATAAGTCTTAGGCTACTCATAGTTATTTTGTTAAGTTTTGGGCGTGTTTTTCTATCCAAACAGCAAATAACAACTTTTTGAAGAGATGTTAGAAACTGATCTTTTAAAATCGGGTATTGGCAATAAAAACTGAACCACAATTCATCTTTTGGGTAACAAAGAAAACAAGCTGTTTCTTACTGCTGTCTCTCAAGTATATGGCAAGGCATTTAATAAAATAGTAAACTACATTCAAGTCAGTTGAACTGTCGTGTACCCAATGCTGGCTAGATTCTTCGCTGTTCAAACTTAGTGGTTGTGTCCAGCATTTCTTCATTCTGCAGCAGTGTATGAATTCCCAACAAATTGTTACACTTGTTCTCATTCTACATTAGCTCTGCCTGACCTTCAATTGCTAGCAAAACACTTTATTCTCTATGGGACTTCAATCTGTTATTTTTTTGTCCATCCAGTGGCAGTACAGAAAAAAAATGTTTTGCAGGAAAAAAAGAGAATGCAAGCTATTTTTGGAAAGAGTAAATTCTGCTGTATGGGGCAAATGGTTGCTGATAGAAAAAAATGCAGGCAGAACATTATTTTTTTCATTCGCCACCTGCCCAAGGTTGCTGAAAAGGACAAATGTGCCTACTCTTTCCCCCACTTCACAAAACTGTTTTATATTAACTAGTTTTCCAATCTAGCAAATGTAACATTTATCTTTAAATACTCTGCATGCAGAAAGGCCTAGAGATGCTCAGAGTCATAATTATCAATCAAATTGGTAATTCATAAATAGGAGGAGTTGAATATAAAAGATATGGAATGGCCATATATGGGTTAATGCAACTTTATTATTTAAGTATATATTTTCAATTAATTATAATAATTTCATGTTAACAGAAAAATATGAATCAAAATATAGTATCAGTATTATGGAAACAGATGTATTAATTCCTTAGATTTAAATGCAGGCATTTCCAATTAAAGGACAGTGTACAGTTGTAAATAGTTGACGTTAAGATAACTGAAAATGAGTTATGACTTATCTTAAGTCCAGTATTTCAACAAGATTTAAAATTAATGTACTTGGTTTGGATCCTATTCAAAGCATCTTAGTTTAAATTGTTAACAAAGATTATTGTCCAATTATTTGATTCATAGCGCAACAACTGTTTGATTCTATATAGTCACTATTCAAAAGGAAATATTTAAATGCTTGGTTGAAACTAACATCTCTTCTTTTCCAGTCCAGATTATTTTTCAGCTGATATACATAGAAGCTGACAATGGTTGGGAAGTCCTCCATATTAAAGGCCTCTATAATCTGGCAGCAATGGAGATAGAGGGGAAATTTATGCTCATCAGTACCACTTGTTAACTCTAAATGCCCTTTTATTCAGGATTCCAACATTTTATTTTAAAATGCATTCCGTAAAGCTTCTGCAAAATTGTTTTTAGCTCCTTGCAGCAGAGAATTTAGCTTTGGCAGACCAGATGATTAGAGGATTTTGAAACCAGAAGGGATTTGCATGTGTAGTTTATACACATAGGCACATATTGCCATTTTTATGAGTTTCTCCTCTATGCACAGTCAATTTCTAACCCAGGGAACTATAAATCCTAAAGTAACAGCCAAGATAAAGATGCAAAAGCAACAATTGTTCTAAAAATACAGAATACAAATTGCTGCTTTGAAGTTATACAATACTTAGCTGGAGCTCAAGTTTATATACAATGTCTTTGCCTGGATATCCTCAGAAAACATTTGGGAAATAGATTATAAATAATCACAGTATATATTGCTATTCAGTTGAAAGCTGATATAAGTAGCCACAACCCCATCTGGGTTCTGCTTCTTTAATTATTGGATTTCTGGTAGCACCTTGTAAATTCTACTTTGCTCAAATGCTAGAAACAAAGCATTATACAAAAGAAGATATGCCATTTCAATTATTTTTAAGGCTTTGAGGATTTGGAACTACCAAGATCAAGCTAAGGAGAGCTTTTTGACTCATCTAACTGAAAACTGGTTGTCTTTGATGCAAACAATGAAAGCCCTGTGATAATCAGGAGCAATTTGTTCATCTAGTCTCTTTCTCTTGCACCTCAGAAGGCTTGTAAAAAAGATAGCTTATGAAATTCATAGAAATTTAGCTGAATTCTACTTACATGTGTAAATTACCTAAATGCTGGCTTTTTACAGCTATTCCTGTCCTGTCTAATGCCTCTTTTCACTAATCAAGTTGAACACTGTTTTTTTCTCTTCTCACCTATTCCACTGTTTAGGTAATAAAGATTACATTTATGACTCTGAAAGTACATCATTCAATCACATCTAGATGCGATAACACTTTCACTTAATGGAATAATTAATACGTACAGAATAATTAATGAGAAACTGGTATAAATCAATCACAAGTCTGAGTTTGAAAATAAATGGTTATGTAGCAAGGGACTTTGAGTCAAATTATTCTATATTCCTTATTGCAAATCTTGTGCATTCTCTGAAGCCTTAGATTTATCAATGTCAAGAACAAAGTATTCATGAAGGCCACTTAGTCAGGGTCATCAGCTTAAGGGAATAATATGTGTGTCCTACGGAATATACATAGAATCTCAGGACTGAGACTCCGAGACTGTCTTCTTTGTATTTAAAGCTATTAATAATTGAGTTATTTTCCCCTTTCCAGGCTACTTGCTGACTAAAATTATCACCATTGTATCAAATGAGGCAAGCCATTATCATCTTAGATCATTACAAATCAATCAGATTTTGGCATTAGGATGCAGAATTGTGGCCATATGAGTGATATATTAAAGAGTAAAAATGGAATATATACCCATTATCCAAGATATATTTTATTTATATTTAATAGCATGGATTATGAGATGCAATATAACATAACATTTAGTAGATGTTTTTAGACTATCTTTTTAAATTAATCATGCCATATAAAATAAACTTGCTATACTCAAAGTTGGCACAAGCCTGTCTAGATAAAATTTGTTTTATTGTCTGGAGAAAGCAGATGGTGCTAAACTGTAAACTGACTACCTAGAAAATAAGAAAGAAAAAAAGAACAATAAAAGTGTCAACAACTGCCTGGCTGGAAATGGAACTGGCTACAATAAAAATCTTTCTTTTTCCAAAAGTAATTGAACATAGAATGTAGAATAAAGACTTCTCAATATTGTTTTTATTTTTGCATGAGAAAACCACTGAAGA